TCCATTGTTTTGGGGCGCCGCCTCCCCTAGGAGGACCTATTGTGAGCCACAGGCCTTGGCAGGGTCCCTGGGAACATTGGCGCCCCATTAAGAGGACTGGGGGGAGCCACCGCCTCTGGAAGGGCCCCTGAAGGCGCCACGCCGCTGACAGGGCCTCTGGGAGGACCTTTGGGAGCACCACGGTCCCTGGGAACGTACCTGGAGGTGCCCCCGTCCCTGGAACAACCCCTGGGGTCACCGCTGTCCCTGTGGGGGCCCTTGGGTCACTCAGCGCCTGGCAGGGGTCCATGGGGGCGCCTTACCGTGTCTGTGAGAATTTCCTAGGAGCGTTACCGTCCTAAGAGGGGTATGGAAACTCAACTGTTTCTGGAGGGAGCCCTGAGAGCGCCGCCTTACTCTGAAAAGCGATTGCCGTTTTCGTAAGCGCCCTTGTGGATCCAGCGCCCTTGGTCGAGGTGCTCCTGACAGGTCTCCTGAAACTGCTTGACCCTAGAGAGGCCTGAGGCGCCTCCTTTCTGTAGCCGTGGCCCTCAGGGATAACGTTGATCTGGGTCCCTTACGAGGACAGCGCCTTCAGGGGTGTTCGCAGGGACGGCGACGTCCCCAGTGCCTCTACCACAGCGGTGGCACCTTCACGGGACCTTCAGAGGGGGTGTCTCCCCCAGGGTACCTATTTGGGGCACCACTGCTCACAATTACCCTACCAGTGGCTGCGGCGCCCCTATGGGCCGTCCTAGGGCCGACAGCGCTGCTATGGGCCCTGCTAGTGGCAGTGGGTACCTTTCCAGGGGCGGCAGGGTCACTGCCAGGGACGACCCTGCCCCCAGGGGCCGTTCCACATGCTGCATCGCCCCAAAAACTTCATAGTTTTGTCGTACATTTTGCATTCGTCCAGTAATCCCTTACTTAAGTGTGATTGGTGGAATAAGAGGTGACGTCATCAAATTACAGCCAATAGGAGAACAAAGCAATCAGTCAGCACAACACCCCAACTTATGCTTTGCTGTTGGATATTTATTCTCGTTTCACCATTTAAATTCTGGGAGATATGACATAAAATATATACACCGCCCGTCGCATTTTCAGTATGATGGCAACCTGAACAATAAAATGGAGAATAAATATCCAACAGCAAAACATAAGTTGGGGTGTTGTGCTAAATGATTGCTCTGTTTTCCGATTGGCTGTAATTTGATGACGTTACCTCTTATTACACCATTCAAAGTTAAGTAAGAGATTACTGGAAGAATGCAATTTGTACGACACCACTATCCATTGTTTTGGGGCGCCGCCTCCCCTATGAGACCTATTGTGAGCCACAGGCCTTGGATGGGTCCCTGGGAGCAGTGGCGCCCCATAAAGAGGCCTGGGGGGAGCCACCGCCTCTGGAAGGGCCCCTGAAGGCGCCACGCCGCTAGCAGGGCTTCTTGGAGCGCCTCTAGTAGTACCACGGTCCCTAGGAACGTACCTTCAGGCGCCCTCGTCCCTGGAAAAACCCCTGGGGTCACCGCTGTCCCTGTGAGGGCCCCTCGGGTCGCCAGCGCCCCTAGCAGGGTCCATGGGGGCGCCGCCGTGTCTGTGAGGTTCCCTAGGAGCGTTGCCGTCCCTGAGAGGCCCATGGAAACTCAGCTGTTTCTGGAGGAGCCCCTGAGAACGCCGCCTTTCCTGAGAAAGCCCCTACGATTGCCGTTTTCCGTAAGAGGGCCCCTTGTGGATCCAGCGCCCTTGGTGGATCCGGTGCTCCTGAAAGGTCTCCTGGGGCACCGCCGACCCTGAGAGGGCCCTGGGAGCGCCTCCTTGCCTGGCATGGCCAAGTGACCCTCCCAGGGATAACCGTTCATCCCAGGGTCCCTTACAGGGACGAAAGCGCCTTCAGGGGTGTTCTCAGGGACGGCGACGTCCCCAGTGCCTCTACCACAGCGGTGGCACCTTCACGGGACCTTCAGAGGGGGTGTCTCCCCCAGGGTACCTATTTGGGGCACCACTGCTCACAATTACCCTACCAGTGGCTGCGGCGCCCCTATGGGCCGTCCTAGGGCCGACATCGCTGCTATGGGCCCTGCTAGTGGCAGTGGGTACCTTTCCAGGGGCGGCAGGGTCACTGCCAGGGGCGACGGTGCCCCCAGGGGCCGTTCCACATGCTGCATCGCCCCAAAAACTTCATAGTTTTGTCGTACATTTTGCATTCGTCCAGTAATCCCTTACTTAAGTGTGATTGGTGGAATATTACGCCTCATCAAATTGGTTAAGAGTATATCAGTGAGCATCATGGTCTATTTTGCTAAAGGATATTTATTCTCGTTTCACCATTTAAATTCTGAGAGATATGACATAAAATATATACACCGCCCGTCGCATTTTCAGTATGATCGCAACCTGAACAATAAAAAGGAGAATAAATATCCAACAGCAAAACATAAGTTGGGGTGTTGTGCTAAATGATTGCTCTGTTTTCCGATTGGCTGTAATTTGATGACGTTACCTCTTATTACACCAATCAAAGTTAAGTAAGAGATTACTGGAAGAATGCAATATGTACGACACCACTATCCATTGTTTTGGGGCGCCGCCTCCCCTATGAGACCTATTGTGAGCCACAGGCCTTCGATGGGTCCCTGGGAACAGTGGCGCCCCATAAAGAGGCCTGGGGGGAGCCACCGCCTCTGGAAGGGCCCCTGAAGGCGCCACGTCGCTAGCAGGGCTTCTTGGAGCGCCTCAAGTAGTACCACGGTCCCTAGGAGCGTACCTTCAGGCGCCCTCGTCCCTGGAAAAACCCCTGGGGTCACCGCTGTCCCTGTGAGGGCCCCTCGGGTTGCCAGCGTCCCTAGCAGGGTCCATGTGGGCGCCGCCGTGTCTGTGAGGGTCACTAGGAGCGTTGCCGTCCCTGAGAGGCCCATGGAAACTCAGCTGTTTTTGGAGGAGCCCCTGAGAACGCTGCCTTTCCTGAGAAAGCCCCTACGATTGCCGATTTCCGTAAGAGCGCCCCTTGTGGATCCAGCGCCCTTGGTGGATCCGGGGCTCCTGACAGGTCTCCTGGGGCACCGCCGACCCTGAGAGGGCCCTGGGAGCGCCTCCTTGCCTGGCATGGCCAAGTGACCCTCCCAGGGATAACCGTTGATCCCAGGGTCCCTTACAGGGACGAAAACGCCTTCAGGGGTGTTCTCAGGGACGGCGACGTCCCCAGTGCCTCTACCACAGCGGTGGCACCTTCACGGGACCTTCAGAGGGGGTGTCTCCCCAAGGGGACCTATTTGGGGCACCACTGCTCACAATTACCCTACCAGGGGCTGCGGCGCCCCTATGGGCCCTCCTAGGGCCGGCGGCGCTGCTATGGGCCCTGCTAGTGGCAGTGGGTGCCTTTCCAGGGGCGGCAGGGTCACTGCCAGGGGCGACGGCGCCCCCAGGGGCCCTTCCACATGCTGCATCGCCCCAAAAACTTCATAGTTTTGTCGTACATTTTGCATTCATCCAGTAATCCCTTACTTAAGTGTGATTGGTGGAATAAGAGGTAACGTCATCAAATTTCAGCCAATAGGAGAACAGAGCAATCAGTCAGCACAACACCCCAACTTATGCTTTGCTGTTGGATATTTATTCTCGTTTCACTATTTAAATTCTGGGAGATATGACATTAAATAAATACACCGCCCATCGCATTTTCAGTATTATCGCAACCTGAACAATAAAAAGGAGAATAAATATCCAACAGCAAAACATAAGTTGGGGTGTTGTGCTAAATGATTGCTCTGTTTTCCTATTGGCTGTAATTTGATGACGTTACCTCTTATTCCACCAATCACAGTTAAGTAAGAGATTACTGGAAGAATGCACTATGTACGACACAACTATCCATTGTTTTGGGGCGCCGCCTCCCCTAGGAGGGCCTATTGTGAGCCACAGGCCTTGGTAGGGTCCCTGGGAGCAGTGGCACCCCTTAAAGAGGCCAGGGGGGAGCCACCGACTCTGGAAGGGCCCCTAAAGGCGCCACGCCGCTGGCAGGGCCTCTAGGAGAGCCTCTGGTTGCACCACGGCCCCTAGGAACGTACCTGGAGGCGCCCTCGTCCCTGGAAAAACAAATGGGGTCACCCTACCGGTGGCTGCGGCGCCCCTATGGGCTCTCCTAGGGCCGGCGGCGCTGCTATGGGCCCTGCTAGTGGCAGTGGGTGCCTTTCCAGGGGCGGCAGGGTCTCAGCCAGGGGCGATGACGCCCCCAGGGGCCCTTCCACATGCTGCATCGGCCCAAAAACTTCATAGTTTTGTCGTACATTTTGCATTCATCCAGTAATCCCTTACTTAACTGTGATTGGTGGAATAAGATGTAACGTCATCAAATTACAGCCAATAGGAGTACAGAGCAATCAGTCAGCACAACACCCCAACTTATGCTTTGCTGTTGGATATTTATTCTCGTTTCACTACTTAAATTCTGGGAGATATGACGTTAAATAAATACACCGCCCATCGCATTTTCAGTATTTTTGCCTCATTTACACACAATTGCAGGGTCTCAATTCTTTCTCTTATTATTGGCAACACAACATACAGACTGTCGTTTCTCACTATTGATTGATTTTTTTCATTTTTGTATTTATTTATTTATTATTATTATTATTATTATTATTATTATTATTATTATTATTATTATTATTATTATTATAATATTTCGTCCCCCAGGCCCTGATATGGGTCAGTGACCTGTGCCCGGGTGGGATAATCCCCGTAAAAAATAAATAAAATGAATAAATATATAAATAAATAAATAAATAAATAAATAAATAAATAAATACACCGACAATCGCATTTTCAGTATCATTGCATCCTGGGTAATGAAAAGTAGAATAAATATCCAACAGCAAAACATAAGCTGGGATTTGTGCTGACTGACTGCTCTGTTCTCCCATTGGCTGTAATTTGGAGGAGATACAGTTTAGTCCGCCAATTACAGTTAAGCAAGGGATTGCTGGAGGTATGCAATATGTACAACACCACGACCAAGCAAGTTATAGGGCTCCTGGGATGGGGCGCCACCACCACTGCGAGGACCCCTGGGGTGCCGCCGCCTCTGGGAGGGCCCGTAGGGCACTGCGGCTCCTGATAGGTACCCTGGGGGTGCCGCCGCCCCTGGGCGTGCAAACGCCCCTTGGAGAGCCCCTGGGTGTGCAGCTGGGAGGTCCTTTTTGGGCATCCGCCCCCCAGAAGGGGTGCTGCCGCCGCAGGGGGACCATAGGAGGGTCCCGGCCGCCCCTAGGAGGGCCCTTGGGGACCTCACCGCCCCTGGGAGGGCCCATTGGTGCCCTTGGAAGGACCCCCTGCGTTTGCCGTCGCCCGTGGGAGGGCCCCTGGGCAGACCCTGTATATGCCGACATCCTTGAGAGAGCCCTGGGAACCTCGCCACCACTGGGAGGGCCCCTGGGATCGCTGCCGCCCTTGGGAGGGTCTCTGGGTTCGCTGCCGTCCCTGGGAGAGCCCCTGGGGGTACTGGCGCACTTGGGAGGGTTCTAGTGAGCGTGGCCACATCTGTGAGGATCTTTGGGAGTGCCGCTGGTCTAGTGAAGGCCCCTGGAGGCCCAGCTGTCACTGGGATGGCCCCTTGGGACGTAGCTGCCTCTGGGAGGGCCACTGGTGGCCTCACCGCCCCTTGCAGGGGCCCTGGTGCCCTTGGAAGGATTCCAGGACTTCCCGTCACCCCCGGGAGGGCCCTTGGGGACGCCGCTGCCCCTGGGAGGGCCTCTGGGGGCGCCACTGCTCTTGCAAGGGCCCCTGGCGGCGGCGCCGCCCCTGGGATGGCCCCTGTGGGCACTGTATCTCCTTGAAGGTCTCCTGGGGGCACTACTGTACCTCGCTGTCGTCCCTGGGTGGATCCCTGGGGGAAACGCAAATCGCTGGGAGGGCTCCTGGGGTTGTTGCCGCCCCTGGGAGAGCACCTGTTGATGCTGGCGCCCCTGGGAGGTCCACTGGGGTCGCCGCCACGCCTGGAAGTTCTCATTGGTGGCGCTACTGCACCTACCAGGTCTCCTGGGGGCAGTTGTTTATGCACTATTTAGAACTATGAGAGATATGACGTGAAATAAATACACCGCCAATCGCATATCCAGTAGTAGTATCATTGCATCCTGAACAATGAAAAGGAGAATAAATATCCAACAGGAAAACATAAGTTGGGGTGTTGTGCTGACTGACTGCTCTGTTCTCCTATTGGCTGTAATTTGGTGGATGTACAGTTTAGTCCACCAATCACAGCTAAGTAAGGGATTACTGGACGTATGCAATATGTACAACACCACGACCAAGCAAGCTATAGGGCTTCTGGGAGGGGGCGCCCCTGGTAGTGCCTCTGGGAGGGTCCCTGATGACGTACACACCCCTGGGGAAGTCGCCGCCTGTGGGGGGAGGGGGGCCTCTGGGTGCGCTGCAACCACTGGGAGGACCCCTGGAGGCCCCGCCACCATTCGGAGTACCCTAGGGCTCCGCAGCCCTATTGGAGGTCCCCTGGGGGTGCCGCTGCCCCTGGGAACTCCTCTGCCCCTAAGGAGGGCCCCTGGGAGGTCCCTTGGGGGTGCCCGTCACCCCTGGGGATGCTGTCTCCCCTGGGAGGGTCTTTTGGGCACTGCCACATCTGGGGGTTTCCCCTAGAAGGACCCATGGGAGGGTCCCGATCGCCCCTAAGAGGGCACAATGTGTAATTGCTCGAAACAAGGCTAATATAGTACATAAGAACATAATAAATTAAGGAGTCTGCAATAGGCTGGTTGGCCTGTGCATGGCAACTCCTGTCGAGAGTTACTACCACTCTCTATCA